AGAGACAACTAAACATTTTTGAAAACAGGTTGGACAGCAGCCAAAATAATTTAATCCTTTTGAAAAATGATCGGATTGTTTTAGTTATTGTTTAGTTGTGAAAAAATTGTGTTTTAAGCATAAAAGGTTTATAAAATTAGTTTTTGTTAATTTAAAATTTATTTTATTTTATAATTTTAGAGAATTAAAAATATTATAATTTTAACAAAATTTAATTTGAGTTTTCTCTCTGTATAAACTATATCTAAAATTTCATCCTATTTAAAAAGACATGTAAAAAATAATAATAACCTCAATTAACAAATTCTCATGTTTCATAACCAGAAGTATCCCTATGAAAAAAAAATACATTTTAAATTAATAAAAAAATAATTTAATAATATAATATTCAAGTAATTCTAAAATATAAAAGTATGAAACATTTATTATCTATTTGGACTCATTATTATCTTAATTGGATTTGGCTTCTACATATGCCTAACTGATCTAAGTGACCTTATTCTCTGTCATAATATCATCAAAAGTTAATCACTTGTAAAGGTTATCAAGTCCAGTGCGACAAACATATAACCACGGGAATGCAATGATGTGAACTTCATTTTCTTTCTTAGTATTACAAAGATATTATGTAGACGCTCGACCCTCCTTTAGTTTGATACTAATCTAATATTAATAAAATATTAAAGTTAAATTAAAAGATCAATATATAAAATCTAACATTTAACATTTTATAATTATGAAAAGATTTTATTGCTTATAGGATTTTGAATCCACTGGGCATATTGTTCATACTACATGTATCTAGGTGATGGAACTTACTTAGAATCTGGAGTAATAACCTAATGTGTGATACTTATGTATCAAATTATATACTTTTTATTTATAATAATGAGATGTATCTCTATAAATATCTCATTTCTCTATGTATTCCACTATAATATATAAGTTTTATGTTGCCTTAACTAGTTGTAATCATCATTTCTACCCTGATAAGTTATGGCGTGCAATGCATTACCAGTGTCGATGTCGATTAGACTGTGTTGTTTATAGCCAAACTGTTGCATTATCCTATTTGGGCAATGTAACTTGATCATCTTAAAAAATATCAGTGAGATTACTAATATCCATATGTTCATCCTGCTACTGCAAACTGCTGTAGCAATTGTCAATTTATCTTCCGAGTAAGGTGCCCATATGACCTGTAGAATATCAATTTTTTAAATATTAAACAACAATAATTTCATAGTCTGGACATTCATTAAAGACAATCGAGGTAATTAGGGTTTGCTCATATAAAGATGTTTCCTCGACTACAACTGTTATTCAATAAAAAAAACCTTTTTAATTAGTTGTGACAATAACAAACATTTAAAGTCTTAGATAATATTTCTCTCTTCATACTTATAAGGTTAACAAATATCTCCCAACTTGTTTGTCCTATTTATACATGTAAGACATAGATATTTGTACAAAATAACAAATCTCCACCTATACATGGGATGACATCAAAATCCTTCACGTTGATCAGGTAAATTAAATACACACATCTAAAGTTGTCGTGTTTTTAAAACATGATATTTATTAAATGTTGTGCTTCTCAAACGTGACATCTATTTTATCGCTCTTAAAAAACATGACAATGTTAAAGTGTATTATTTTATCAAATCTTTTCCAAACGGTGCTATAATTATTACATTTATTATACTAATTTTTTTAATAAAAAATGTTTTATTTCACTGTTTATGATATATGGATGAGCAAATTATTCTTTAATCCTTGGGTTTTAAATATGATCATAACTTAGTCCTTCATTTTTTAGAATTTACAACTTAGTTGACTGTTAGTCTCTAATTCTTATATATATAAACAAGAGTCAAATAAAAGGGACTAAGTTATAATAGTATTCAAAACCAATGGACTCGAAACAAACAATCCAGATAGCCCTTTTATTTGACTCTTGGTTTCAAATACTATGAAACTTAGTCCCTTTTATTTGACTACATAAACAACAGTCAAATAAAAGGGACTAAGTTATAATAGTATTTAAAGCCAATGGACTTAAGAATAATTTATTCTACCTGGATAGCTTGTATCGCTGTCTTCTCACCTGCAAAGCTGCCCCATGGACTCATGGAGGGTGGGGGTGGGCCCATTACATCTACTATAATATTACAGTGCAGCTCAATCTAAAGAAATACCAGAGTCGCTAAGTGTTTTTGTTTGAAAATCCTCTTCTTTAGGCTTTGGTGGTTTGCTTGAACTTTAGGGTAAATCTGCATCCTTTGCGGCGACATAAATTCTTGTAGCAGAAAGCTCTCCAATTCAATTCGGATGAAAGCTTAGCTGTATAGCTGTCATATAATCAACAACAAATATCATATTCTTCTTTTAAGAAAGAATAATAATTATTTTTATTTAGAAATACATTAAAATAATATATTTTTATTCTTTTTTAAATAATTTTAATATCCACAAATTATAACAATAAAGAAAACATATAAAAATTTAATTATTAAAAAAAATTAATTTTTTTTACAAAATATCATTTAAAACACAAATAAAAGCAATGTAGATTTGCATTCTTTATTTAAAAAAAAAACTTTGGAACCCCACACGCCCACTTTCCCATAATAATTACTTGTCTATTTAAGAAAAAGAATCATTAACTACTACACCTTTCCAATCATTAACTATTTTAATCACAAATCATTCACCATTATTACACAATCACTTTCAATGGGGGCTTCAAATTTTGATTTTATTAAAATAAAAAAATGGACTTAACCAGTGACCATATTGTCGTTAACGCCCCACTTCTCTCAAGACAAAAAGAAAGTGTTTTTTTAAGACCCATGAGATTAGTCATAGTGTGCGTAAACTGGCCTGAACACTCACGTTAATTTAAAAAAAAAAAAGTGTTTTCATTTGCCAATTGCCACACTTGGAATGGTAAAATCACCCTTTCAGATATTGCGCTGGGTTACATACCAGAGTTAAATAATTTTTTTTAATTTCACAAAAAAAATATTCCGGACATGTGAGGATTTTTTTTTTTGAAAAATATGTATTCTTTTATTTTTTATTATATTTTTTTTTAAATATTTTTTCTAATTTATTTCTTATTCAATATTATTAGGATTTTCTTGATTTTTATATATATAAAAAGTTATAATATTATTTTGTCAAGTAAAAATATAAATAAATAAAAATTGAATATTTTAGCTGTCTCCTTATATTTATAGTGTTTTTGATCTTTAAAAATTTTAACTTGTAACAAACCCACTTGTTATTCACTCTCGTTTATATCAATTGTTATTAGATTCTAGCGACCCTTGTTGATTATTTTCTCTTGTCATATGCTTTAAAATAATCATTATTGAAAGAGGTTTCAAAACACACAATGTGTTTGGGTTAAAGTGCGTGAAGAGGTTTCTTATTGGAAAAAATACATCCATGAGCTAGTATGATATATGGAAATAACACGATGTGCTTGTATTGAAGGGGATGAGGAGGTTCCTTATTGGAAAAAAATACATCTATGATCTAGTGTATTATTTTCATATATGAAAATTATTGTCATTTAAAATCCTAATGGTGAGATTTATACTAGGGTGACTTATACAAAGAAGTTATGTTAGGGATCCATGATAAGTTGGCTTGCACAAAGGTGTTAGAGATCCATTTTGTGATAACTTACATACAAAAATGATATTTTTTATGGAAAAAAACTTTTAATTGAAGACTGAATATGAGGACGAGTTTCTTTTCATCTGGGAAACTAACGCAAGAGCTTTTTTATGAAAATATATATTTTTTATTCTTTATTATGATTTTTTCTATATTAAAAGAGAATATCTTTCCTAGTTTGTTTTTCTATTTTTTTATATTAAAAGAGAATATCTTTCCTAGTTTATTTTTTCTTATTCAAAGGGAATATTTTTCCTATTTTATTTTTTCTTATTCAATGTTATAAGAGTTTTATAGTTATTTCTACATAAAAAATTGCAATACATTTTTTTGGTAAGTGAAAATATGAACAAATAAAAATTGAATATTTGGAGATTTTGACTAGTAATAAATTTTTTATTCTTTGTTCATGTTTAAATTAAAAACTATTTGATATTGTTATTAAATCTAACCTAATGGTTTAATGTAAACTTTTTGATCTAACTTTTTGCTCAGCTTATATTTAAGATTAAATAATGTAGAAGTTGAATCAAAGTGACATAGCTAACAGGGTCAGTCTAAAGACAATCTGATCAATCAATAAAAAAAATATAAAGATAAAATTGAAAAAAAAAGATGAAATTGATAAAAAAATATTTTTTGACCCAATTTCTTACCTATCTTGAATATAAAATTAAATTATATAAAAGTTGTCATGATATGATTCAGTCAGTTTGGTTAATCTAGGAATAACTCAATTAATTGATAAAAAAATTTAAAGATAAAACTAAAAAAATAAAATTAATAAAAAAAACCTCTCGATTGAATTACTTATTTAGCTCGAGTTTAAATTTAAATTTTATGTAAGTTGTTTTGAAATGATCCAATTAACTACTATTAAAAAGAATATAAGAATGAAATTTAAAAAAAAACTAAAATAAAAAATAAATAAAAAAAGAAACACATGAAGTAATACTTTGCTCATTCATTATCCTAATAAATGCGAATATCAGTATGAGAAAAAAAAAAGTTCTATATTTTTTTGTTTTGAAAACACTATTTTGTATACAAATTATTTGCTCAATATCTTTTTAGAAAAAAAAACACTCAGATTTTGTGTGCTTAAATTGATTTTCTTTTGTAACTTGAAGTATCCATCACTTTAATCAAATTTATTTATTTTTTGATAACTGAATTCAGTATTTTTTTAGAAGTAAAAGAACAATAATTGAAGTAAAGTATGACTGTCCATAAGAAAATTATTGAGGAAAAAGAAGAAGAAGATAAGTGAAATTATAAAGAAAAGAATAAACAACTGCCAGCTGACAACCCCATCTTCTGGTTTTCACCTTCTCTGTTAATTTGTACTAACCAATCTTGTCTTTTCCCTCTATTAACTTTGCTTATGTTATAAAAAACAGTCTTCAATGTCGGTCACTTACTTTTAGTTGATCCACTTCACCGTCTTCTTCTTCTTGAATACTTGTATTACTGCCTGACACTTCCATTACTAAAGCTCGAGATCTTGATCATATCAAGGGAGCTTTAGAAGAAGCAACAAAGATCAAAGCAGAGTAGCAAAAGCAAGCAAATGAAGTTAATTTGGAGGCTAAAGTCCCTTGATAAGTACAACAATTGGATATTCAAGCTAGCAATTACAGTTCTCTTGTTGGGTTTTGCTTTTAGATTCTTTTTCTATCAATCTTCAAGTTTTGAACCAAATATAGAAACCCCTTTTGTTGATAGCACTGAATTGTCAAAGGAACCTGTTCCTTCTGTTGAGATTCCAAAACCACCACCACCTGTTACTGTTGATATTCCAAAGCCACCTGCTTCCGTGAATACTTCTCTATCTTCCGGTGTACAAGAACACGAAGACGAGACATCTCAAGAAGGTAACAAATTTAACAAATTTGGGTTGTTTTGTTCTCGAATAACTTTTCTTTTTCCGTTTTTTTCACGCAATGTACATGAAAATTAGATAAGCTGGGAGTAAAGAGACTATGCTTTTGAGAAAGTTATTCATCATTGAGTGTACTCTGAGATCCAAGCACAGAAAAAAGTTTGTGATTAGCAAGATTGAAACTTTTGGTGGGTTTTGTCAGGGTTCGGTTGTTACTATACAAATTGTTGGAAATAATTATGGGTGCTTTCGTCTAGTATTGCATGGTTAATTGCTCTTTTTTGTTCAATTAAGTGCTCATTGGTGTTGTTCAGCTGCGGGTTTGATAAATGAATCTATTAGTATCTATTTTGAAGATTAATGCCCCTTTACTTTCCATAAAATCTCTCACCACAGATTTTATTGAGACTGAGCTTTGGTTTTACAGAACTTAATGATGGAAAGTGTGATCTTTTCACTGGGGATTGGATTCCCAATTCATCCGGACCAATGTACACAAATGCCACTTGCTCCTTGATTGAAGGTCATCAGAATTGTATGAGGAATGGACGACCAGATTCAGGCTATCTATTCTGGAGGTGGAATCCGCGAGACTGTGAGTTACCTCCGTTTGATGCTCAAAGTTTTCTTGAGGTGATGAGGAATAAAAGATGGGCATTGATTGGTGATTCAATATCCCGCAACCATGTGCAGTCGTTGCTATGCATTCTCTCAACAGTAAGTTTTGGGGCTGGTTAAGCACTTTGAAGTTTGAACCTTGGCTTTGGACAGTTGAACCACATTTCACATTTTTCCTTGCTGCGCCATTCTGATTTACTAGAATATTTATATAGAGTAGAATAAACATGTAGTTAACCAAAGAAGAATTGACACCAATAAACTGTTTTAGTTTCAGTGTTTTATATCCTAATGAAATCTTTATGCTATGGTTTTTGGGACGATGCCAAGATCCATTAATGCTTAGATGGTTGATGGTTTGCTTAATTCTGTTTCAGTTTGAACAGGTTTTTAGGGACATTCAGATCCTTGTTTTTCCCAACTAATCTGTTCTCATTAATTTCCCTTTAGCATGTGGCCTTTCCTAAAAATCTCATTATATCATTGATCTTGGTGTCAACAATTGATCTCCTCTCTGGGCTGCTGTTATATCTTGTATTTGGGTATTTGGTAGCTTTGTCATTGCCTGACATTATCTTTTGTTTGCTCTGTAATTGAGCACCATTGATTCTTCACCTTCATTCTTTTATGAATGCTATTGAAATTATTAAATAGATAAGCATTTATCATGAGTGTTTCTGCATGTCCCATACTGTCCTTGACTCTCGGTGGTTTATATTTGTGTATTCATTATGTTATCATGCTCTGTCACTGGATTCTGGCTTGTTCAGTGAATTTAACAAGATTATTATGGTGCTTCACCAGCCAAATCATAATGAACCCAGTGCTTTTTTTTTTAGCCTATGAGGTTGTTTTACTAACTAGTGCATGCATAATTTACTCTGCTTCATGTTAGTTTTTTAATACCAACCGTGTTGTTATAAATTATAATGCTTCTGCAAATTGCATGATGTACCACTTGAAAGTTATCCAAAGAATTTGACGCGCACACACACGCATGGGCCTTAAAATGTTGGCTGGCTAAGGAGAAGCAATTCATCACGTTTCCAAGGTGAATGTTAATCAGAATTGATTTCCTAGTTAGACATGTCCAAAATGTACTAGGAGTGTGCAGTCTTCTTGGAAGATGCCTGGAGTTTCCTCTAGTCATTAGAACTCTTGTCTATCCTAACACTTCAAAAGTTTCTGTCACAATATGGTAGTGCTTGAAATATAAATTTCCCTGAATCGTTTCTTGCCTTTTTCAGTCATCACAACACATTTACGCTCCACAACCATTTTTACTATGAAATCTACCGTTACCCAGTACCTCCATCACAGTACTGCACTCTTGAGAGGCAGTATGCTTTACTTTGTCACTTTTACTGTCACCTAAAATGTTCCTTTTGCTAAAGTAATAAGAGCATGCTATGCTATGTGAACTTTTGTTGAATGAGGGCACCATAAGTGTACCAATTCTTTTGGTGATTGTAGTCATCAAAAAGAGGCAAAGGGAATTAAGAAGCTTATTAGATTGAACTATATGGTCCTGCAGGTTGAACAAGCAGTTGAAGTTTACCACGATGAGGAGTACAAATCCAAAAGATGGCACTTTCCTTCTCACAACTTTACCATGTCAAACATCTGGTCTCCTTTCCTTGTAAAAGCTGCCATCTTTGAAGATAATAATGGTGTTTCATCATCTGAAGTTCAGTTGCAGCTTGACAAACTTGATACGAACTGGACAAATCTCTACCAGAGCTTTGACTACATGATAATCTCTACTGGAAAATGGTTCCTCAAAGCTGCTATCTACCATGAGAATGACACAGAAGTGGGCTGTCATATATGTCCTGGAAAGAACCTGACAGAGACAGGATTTGTCTTTGCTTATGAGAAAGCCCTGAGATATGCAATGAACTTCATTGCAACATCCAAACACAAGGGATTGATCTTTTTCAGGACATCCACACCAGATCATTTTGAGAATGGAGAATGGCACAATGGAGGGAATTGTACGAAAACAACACCAGCTAAAGAAGGTGAGATTGAATTGAAGGACTTGAACAAGATTCTGCGTGCGGTTGAATTAGCTGAGTTTGAGAAGGCATCTGCGAAAGCTGCTGAAAATGGGGTAAATCTTAAACTCCTCGATTTCACAAATCTTTTGTTATCAAGACCTGATGGCCATCCGGGTCCATACAGGCAGTTTCATCCATTTGCGCAGGACAAAAATGCGAAAGTTCAGAATGATTGTTTACATTGGTGTTTACCTGGGCCTATTGACTACTGGAATGATGTGATAATGGAGATGGCTGTAAATGGCTGAGAAGATTAGCTAGAAGTAGATGATTAAAACCTACCATATTCTTCTACATTTTCTTTGGTTATGTGAGCATTGGGAGCTTGTGTATATGTGCGTCTTCATTGTCAATTACATTTGTCACATATCTGGCTTTACCTGGAGTTCATCAACCATTCAGCCAGCAGATTTTTTCAGCTATTGAGACTGCGGAGAAGGAGATAGTGAAGAAGGAGATAGTCAAGCTTAATTTTAGCCCATGTTGTTTGCATCTATAATTTTTCAGATTTATTCACCATTGCTTCATATAAGATTTCCACTTCTTGATATTCGATCAAGGGTCTCCTTTATATATATATATATAATTTTTGTTTATTATATGGCAGTCAAGTGTTGTCTTCTTGTCGGTGCACGTGATCCAATCACTTGGAAGTAAAATTAAGGGACTAAGATTAACTATTTGAAAGTTGAGGTATTGATCTAAATATGATGTCAGATGTTATACCTAGCAAACTCGTGTGCCCTGTAAATTATGAGGTAACTTTGACCAATGGTGGTGTAATTTTTTGTGAATTCATTTAAGTTGTTTATATATATATATATATATATATATTATTAATTAAAAAATGGTTTATTAGAGATAATTTTCTACTTAAATAATATAGTTCTGACTTCTAACTTCTAATCAAAACGTTACTCTACTTTTGGTTAGCACTTAAAGTTAAAAAATTTTACTTTTAATTTAACGATTCTAGTTCATGTCATCTTCTTTCTTGAAGAAATTACTTGGAGTAGTTTTTTATATAAATTTTGAATTTCAATAATTTTTATCACAAGTTATTTGTGAAAAAATAATCTTTTAAATTATGATTGAAAGTAAAAGTTAATTTTCATACGGAACAATGCTTTATGTATTAAATTATCAATTTATACATAGGCAAAGTAAATAAAGATAAGATATAAATATAACTAGTTACATGACTCGTGTTACAGGTTAAATATTTTTATGTTTTATAAAAAAAATTATATATGTATTTTTTTCATTGCATTTTTGTAGTTTTAAAAACAAAGTTCAAATAAATGTTTTTATAGATACATACATATATATATATATATATATATATATATATATATATATATGTAATCAAATAAATTGAAAACTAAGTGTGTGAATAAATATATAAAAAGTTATTAATGATATATCAAAATAAAAATTAAAAAATCAAGAGGCATATAAATTTACTTAGTTATGTGTGCTAATTTTGTTTATTAAAATAATTTTTTTTACTTAAACAAATGATATTAGAAATAAAGACAAATTAAATTGATCAAATAAAATAAAAGGAAAAAAAATCATATATATTAGAAATATCATCTGAAAATATTTTTTAATTCTCAAAAATAAAATTTATCTATACAAAAAATAAAAAAAAATATAAATGAATCAGAAAAACTCTTCAAATTTAAATACATGACTAACAAAATAATCACTATTTAAAATAGGCTCTACAAATAAAATGAAACAGAAAAGGAGTATTAATTTAATTATAAATTATAAAAAATTAGAGAAAAGACTATAAAAAATTATTAATTTAAAAAAATTAAAAAAGAAGAAGTAAAGACCAGGCCAAGCCATCACCTAGCCTTTTTTTTTTGTAAGGACATGGGTGTTTGGGTACATATTTATTTATTCTTTTAAATGGGGTGGATGAAATATCATCGCTTCCCAAATTCTTTTGAAAAAAATAAGATAATACATTGTTTTTTTCTTAGATTTTGATCATTGTGATGGTTGAAAAATTCTATTCTAACGTTATCATTTAAAATTTTTCTAGTTTTATCTATGTTATTCAATTCAATGGTTAATGAATTCTAATGATAAGCTTCAGCTTTCAATTATTTTGTTGTTAAACATTATCATATATGCGATTTGAGAGAATAAAATGGAAAAAGAATCGGAAATAATTATAGAAAAAAGATTTAAAAAAGTAAGTTAAATAATCATGGATAATTTTAAACTTTAAAGAAACTAGATTGGGAAAGTTTAGATCATATGGTAGAGGTTTTAAAACGTTTTAGAAGTGTTTTTTTTTTAAATTATTTTTTTTTATATTTTTTATGTTTTAAATTAATATTTTTTTGATGTTTTCAAATGATTTTGATGTACTGATGGTAAAAATATTTTTTTTTTAATAAAAAATTATTTTAATATATTTTTAAATAAAAATATTTTAAAAATTAATTACTAAACATACACAAAATATTTGTGAAATGTAGGGAAATTTATTTATAAATACAAAAATAATATATTATCATTTCTTGAGTTTTTCGTTCACTCTCACCGATGCGTGCCATCATTCTACCTTGAGCACTTACTATCGAATTCCATGAAGGAATTGTTTTAATAAAACATGGTTTTGAGGTAAAATTTATACCCAAGTCTACTCACTTTTATATTAAAAATTTTGTTGTAATTTTTTTTTAATATATAATATTAACATAATTAAAATAAATTATGAGTAAATAAAAAAATTAATTTTAAAAAACTCTAAGTTGACATATTTTTATGAATTTAAAAGTCTCTATCCCAAATATTTTTTTTTCTTATAGTTTATATAATGAAAAATTAAATAATTATAAATAAGTTTAATAAAGTAGTTTGGGCTTAACTTATACATGTACATTTGATTCAGGGTTTAACAAGAGTTTAAACTTGAAAATATTTTCAATACTTTTAAAATACATCTTTATAGTTAACTTGGAATCAAATCACATATGAAATTAAATTTAATTTCACATGTGATTTGAATTTAATTGATAACTTATTATAATTTTTATGTTTAGAATAAAATATTAATTTACATAATTGAATTTAATTATACTATTTGAAATACCTATAAAATTAAATTGAATTAAATCGACAATCTTAACTATTTTACCCTCCATTTAAAATTGTATGATATATTTTCTCAATGAATAATTTATTTATAAATAAAATATTACGTTGAACTCCTTCATGTTGGCCTTTAACATGAAGCTTTTTCTAGAATATACCCTTAGCTTATACCTTCTCACCTTTTTTTTTTAATGAATTTATCTTTTTTTAATAGAGAAAAAAACATTATGGAATAAAAAGATAAAATAAAATAAAAATAAAAAATTAACTTATAATTATTCATATTAATAATCAAAATGATAATATAAATAATTAACAATATCATGAATAATTTAACATGACATATCAATTTAGTTGTCATAACATGATCAAAGTATTTTGATATTTATCTATGGAATCATAATCATGTCGATTGCTCTATTTTTAGTATTTGTTTGGCTTGAAAATATGATAATTTTTTTTATTTAAAATATAACCTTTTTAAAACACAAATTATACCTTATAAAAATAAAAAATACAAGCTGCTTTTATGTGAACCCATAAAAAAAAACATTCACACCTCCATACCTTCGCACCCGTAAGCAAGAAGCATCCACCGTTTTTTTTTTTTTTTTTAAAAAAAGAAGCATCCACCATTCTTCATTTCCCAACAAATAAAACTTGCTTTCATAGAGTACAAGAGTAGCTACCTATTATGTGTGTACGTGTCTATGTTTGTATGCATGCGTGGGCAATCCTTCAGATTGATAGAATACTAAAGAAAAGTATATATATATATATATCCTTCAAATTATGCTTTTTAGCTTCCCACTCCACCAATGGCACCAACCCCATTGGTCAACTTGCCAAATTAATTAATAGAGGAAGTATTCGAAAATCAAAATAACAAAACCTAAAATGGAGAAAGTGGCCAAATTGAAACACTTACACTTTTTGTGGTAAAAAATAAAATAAAAAATCTACACGTTCCTCCTTAACGGTCAGATTTTTGAACAGATGAATCAGATTCCGGATTTCCGATTCCGGACCTCAACCTTCTCTTAAAACTCCAACAAGTCGTTTGAAATTCAAAAAATAGTAGCCGTTGGCTCCTCTCCTTCCCTCCTTTATAATCTACAATTCTTTCACTGATCTCAGTCTCAGAAACCCTAAAACCCTCTCTCTAAATCTCTATCTCTCTCTCAAAATCAACACTCAAGAATGGCTGATACTGCTGTAGCCCCAACAGTTCCAAAGAAATCAAGAAACAACAGGAAAGCTTTGAAACAAAAGAACCCAACAACAAATGAAGCCAATATAATGGCTCAAAAGCTCTCCGAGCAATCTCCAGCCAGCGTCTTGCCCCCATCAGATACTGACTCTTCAAAAGAAAACCTTGAGAGTCTTTCTCAACCTCGTTCTTCACCCAAGAAAGGGAAATCCAAGGCCACGAAAGCGAAGCAGAATAAAGAGGCTTCGGCTTCTTTGTTTGAGAAAGATTTTCAAGAAATGCAAGAAATGTTGCAGCAGTTAAAGCTTGAGAAAGAGAAGACCGAGGTTTTGTTGAAGGAGAAAGATGACATGTTGAAGGCTAAAGATGAGGAGATTGAAATGAAGGGTAAAGAACAGGAGAAAATGAAGACGGAGTTGAAGAAGTTGCAGAAGTTGAAGGAGTTTAAGCCTACCATGGTCAGTTTTCTTGATTTGGTGGATTTTTTTTTTATTTCTTGTCTTAAAGGTTGGGTAAATAGGGGACTGTACCGGATTTTGAGGATTCGATTTTAGTTTTTGATTGATTCTTGTTGTGAGTTTTAGGGTCTGGATGATTTGACCTAATGTTGAACTTTAGGTTCGATCTGTTAATTTTCTTGGGTAATACAGAGGAAGCATGAAAGACCATTATTTAGAATTCTTATCTATTTATTTCTATAGGGTTTGAATTGATGGGTTTTTTTTCTATGAATCTTTGCACAGACTCTCCCATTTGTTCAAGTATTGAATGAAAAGGAGCAAGACAAGAAGAAAAAGAAGGGTGGCAATGAAATCAAAAGGCCATGCCCACCTTACTCCCTCTGGTGCAAAGATCAATGGAATGAGGTAAACATAGAAATTGGGCTACGTGATATCTTCTAGTATTTTCAATTAAGCATGCTTTGTTTCTATCTTGATGATTAATTTGAGGGGTTTTGTTGTACAGGTCAAGAAAGAAAACCCAGATGCAGAGTTCAAAGATATCTCTCACATTTTGGGGGCAAAGTGGAAGACCATTACTGCAGAGGAGAAGAAACCTTATGAGGAGAAGTATCAGGTTGAAAAAGAAGCCTATCTGAAGTTGATGACAAAGGAGAAGCGAGAGAGTGAAGCAATGAAGCTTTTGGAAGAGGAACAGAAGCAGAAGACTGCTATGGAATTGCTTGAACAATACCTCCAGTTCAAGCAGGAAGCAGGTCAGGAAGAGAACAAGAAGAACAAGACCAAGTAAATCAGAAGCAACACTCCTTGG